GCGCCGGGGCCACCGCGGGGGGCAGGCAGGTGGCCCCAACCGTGGTGGGACGGAGGGTGGCACCAAAACCCCTTGAAACCAGGGTGAAAGTGGGGTGAAACCAGATTGTAAACTGGGGTGAAACCAGGGTGAAACTGGGGTGAAACCGGGGAGAAACCGTGGTGAAACCAGATTGCGAACTGGGGTGAAACCAAGGAGAAACCAGGATGAATCCGGGGTGAATCTGGAGTGAAACTGGGGTGAAATCAGACTGTAAACTGGGGTGAAATCAGGGTGAAATTGGGGCGAAACCAGGGTGAAACGGGTAAAATCTTGATGAAACCAGATTGTGAACTGGGGTGAAACCAGGGTGAAACCAGGTTGAAACCTTCATGAAACCAGGATGAATCCGGGGCGAATCTGGAGTGAAACCGTGGTGAAACCAGATTATAAACTGGGGTGAAACCAGGGTGAAACCAGGTTGAAACCTTCATGAAACCAGGATGAATCCGGGGCGAATCTGGAGTGAAACCGTGGTGAAACCAGATTATAAACTGGGGTGAAACCAGGGTGAAACCAGGGTGAAATTGGGGTGAAACAGGTGAAACTGGGGTGAAACTGGGGTGAAATCAGGGTGCAACTGGGGTGAATCTGCGGTGAAACCAGGGTGAAATTGGGATGAAATTGAGGTGAAACTGGGGTGAAACTGGGGTGAAATCAGGGTGCAACTGGGGTGAATCTGCGGTGAAACCAGGGTGAAATTGGGATGAAATTGAGGTGAAACTGGGGTGAAACTGGGGTGAAATCAGGGTGCAACTGGGGTGAATCTGCGGTGAAACCAGGGTGAAATTGGGATGAAATTGCATCACACAGTGTCCCCACACTAGCACAGATTGTGCCCCTGCTGGCACATGGTGTCCCCCCATGGGCACAAGTGGTGCCCTGCCATGCCCAGACGCAGTGTCCCCAGGCCAACACATGAAGTCCCCCATGCTGGCACACATGGGGTCTGAATGCCAGCCATCATGTAGGGTCCCCTATGCCAGCAGACGGGGTCCCCACACCAGCAGACGGGGTCCCCACGCTGGCACATTGTCCCCGTGCTGGTTCCCACGCTGATGCCTGGTGTCCCCATGGCAGCACACGGGGTCCCCATGCCGGCACAACCCCGCCAGCGTGGCCGGGCTGACCGCATTGGGGCGGCACGTGGCCGCTGCGAGGCCCTGGCCGCCTCGCTGGCCGCGCGAAACAGCGACGGCTGCCCCAAACTGGGCTGATACCTGGGTGAAACTGGGATGAAACTGGGGTGAAACCGGGGTGAAACCAGAGCCACGAGCAGAGCCGCCAACAGAGCCGTGAAACGGAGCCACAAAGAGCCAAAACCGGAGGCGAAACCAGAACCGCAACCGGAGCCACAACCGGAGCCAAGACCACAAGTGCGAACGGGTCTGTGCCCGAAGCCACAACCGGAGCCGAAACCAGAACTACAAACAGGTCTCTGCCCAGAGCGGCAACCGGAGCCGAAACCGGAGCTGCAAACGGGACCGAAACCAGAATTGCAACCGGAGCTGCAGATGGAGCCGCAATCGGCGCTGTAAACGGAGCCGAAATCGGAGTTGCAAACGGGTCTGCAACCGGAGCCGAAATTGGAGCTGCAACCGGAGCCGAAACCGGAGTTGCAAACGGGTCTGCAACCGGAGCCAAAACTGGAGCTGAAACTAGAGCTGCCGGAGCCGAAACTGGAGCCGAAACCGGAGCGGCAACCG